TCATTTAGTTTTCTAATATTTGATCCCTATAAAACAAACTTCTAGTAGTTGGATAGTATTTTTATTATTTTTTTTTTGTGTAAGAATATGGCAAGCGATCTGGTGGTACACCTGATGTTAAATGATTACTGCCGCAAACCCCTAGGGTAGCAAATGTAGCGTTGCCACCTTTTAATAAAATGTGTCTCGGCTACCTTACTCACCAGAGGAAACGCAGAAGTATAACTATTCCACTAAACGCTGGTCTTCTGTGAGGTCGAGGTACTTCCCCGGACGGACCTGACCATTCATGCAACAGCCAATACTGTTGCGTGGCCCTTATTTTAAATTATCATAATTAAAATAGGTAATTTTTTATCTATCATTTTAAAAATTATTCATACCGTAAAACAAAGTTATTCCAGTTTTAAGTTTTCACTTCCCATTAAGTTAAGTTTTCACTTCGTCGACAGTTCCCATATTGCTATTTTTTTTAATAAAAAACTTATTAATAAATTAATATAGCATAATTTAACCTCTTTGGTTGTTTTATTAGGCTAATGACCAGTTCTTTGTTTTTTGAAAATAGAAACAATTGGTAACGAACTCGGTACGATGTATCTATCATTGTATCAGGACGAAGAAATAGCAAAGCGGCCCCCGTGTACTGGAGCAAACTAAAACCTTATAAATAATAGGGCAGACAAAAAACACGATCGTGACTTATTCATACCGCCGCAAACGAGCTCCGTCTGTCAAGCAAATCTGTCACTTATTGCGATCCGAGACAACCGCTTTCGCCGCATTAACATTTCATTAACATTTCCCGTGCGCCATTAGAGTTGAAATTTGAATATCTCCGGATCGGAAATGCACAAATTAAGCGAGTGATCTGTTGGCAGTAATGAGCTGAAGGTACGTAATGACGACTGTGGACTGAACAAAACAACACTTTGCTTACCTCAGCGGGCCGCGGTAACGAACACGGCTCGCCAGTGCGGAGGCGGCTTTGTAAGTATACGATTAAAGTTAACGCACAAATGTACTTTAAGTTTAATTCATTTTAAAAATACAACATACCAACTCACACGTTTTTATGTGAGAATGTGGCAAACGAGCTGGCGGTTCACCTGATGTTCAGTGATAACCGCCGCCCATTGACATTTGAAACCGTAGGATGGCAGTTGCGTTGCCACCTTTAAATAAACTAGCCACGGCTAACTCACTCATCAGATTAAAAGCAGAAAGTCGTGGTACTTACCCGGAAGGACCTGGCCCGCTCGTGCCGCAGCGAAGACTGTTGCGGGGCATCACAGTATTATAAAATAATAGTTCAAAATATACATATCTATAAATATACAAAAATATATTTATAGATTGAATAATAAAGGAAATCCCTACGCGCCAAAAAGCCTTCTCACCGTAAATATATTTCTAATGTAATTTTCTAACTATGACATTATAAAACGGAAAAACATAAAACGCCTGTCTTTCACATCATGTTAAAGACAAGAAAGTAATTTTGCAAGAAAGTAATTTTAAAAAAATAGTGATTGAAAAAGACATTTTTACACTGTTTTTTGTGTATTTTCTGCAAATTAGTAAAACAAAATTAACAATTAAGGAAAACAAGGAAACAACATTGGGGGGCCGAAGATGATGCGGTCTCCTTCGTATCACACTGTGAAAAAGTGAGTGGTAGAGTTCAAATCTATGACATGTACAGCTTAAGAAAACGTAAACAATATATGATCATATTCATATTGACAGACCCAAAATTAACTATACTAGAGATCTAACACTAGGCATCTCGTATGAACAAACGTAAATGAAATTGAATTTACTAAGGTTTCCGCACGGTGAGTGATAGTTGTCAGTCGAACAGATACGAATTCAAAATTACTCCACAACTTTTCAAACCACCCTTGTATGTTACAAAGGCCTCTGTACGAGAGTATTAGGGCATAATCCACGAGGCGACCAAGCGCTACTCCCAATATAGGAATACATTGCACTGCGTTTTGCGGACTTTTTTATATGCAAAATGACATACTCATCCTTTATGAGAGGGCTTAGCAATTTAGTCTTCCAGTGCATCGAATGTTGCCACCAAAATTCAGCAAAGCCGCCTCCGTACAGCTAAGCCCAATACGCCTTATTAATAAGGAACGGTAGCACTCGGCCGCGCACACAGACGGACGGACACGCGGACACGGCGAGCGACATTTGTAATGATACTAAATAGTTGCGCGCGGTAGGTGCCCCGTAAACGAGTAATGCGTTAAAGTCGAACAGGGTTTATGCCACGTGCGCCATTTTATACAACCACTGCCGCCATTGTTATTTTGACGTTTGCTTCTTCGGTATAAAGAGCGCGAAAACGTTTGTTGAAAGCGGGCTTTGTGGTCGATGACGCTTAAGCCCGTGACACTGAAAGCGCATAAAAAACATAAGAATAATTTTATTTATAAATGTAATATTACACATGTGAAACGTGACATCTATTATGATTAAATGATGAATAGTAATGTTAGTATCACATAAATAAAAACTCCAAACGTCATCCGATGAAAATAAGATTATTGCTTTAAATCCTTATATCTGAATACATTAGTTACAGCAATGACTCATTTATAATTAAGTGGTATTGACGCATACTTAAATAGTCACAAAACATTACATGCAGGTCTTTTTAGAATCAGAATTGCAATACAGTTGCGACTGTGAAATGCATATACAATTTTAAATGTATTCTAAAGTAACTAACGATGTTTATTGACCAGTTTACAACACATTATACGAGTTTTCATAAATATCGCTTGTTTTATGGAAATAAAAAAAATATAAAAAGATAATCGTCGTAATTCCAACGCACCAATAACGAGAGATACGGGAATAGACACCGATTAGTGCAAGAAATAACTAGATCACTTTTAAGCTTTTTTTTATTTTAACAAGTCAATAACCGATACGAAGTAGGTAAAGTCACGGACGGCTTGCGCACATACAGAATAACGCCGTCCAGTCAATAAGTCAGAAGCACCTATCTGCGTAATGTCTGAGCGGCATTTACATATTTTAATGAGCACCGCCGGCCTATCGCGGCGAGGCCTCGCTGCCTGCACTATCTTCGCCCGGGCCACGTTCAGGCATTCTAGATCGAAACTCTCACCGCTCTCGTCGCACATTTGCCTTTGAGTCCAATTTGTAATCCGCGTTTAGAGCTTTGTTCGAATGCCCGCGGCTAATGGAACACTTTCGCGTTAGCTGCCGACTGTTCGGTTGGGCCTTTTTCCATATTTCATAGCATGATTTTACGTCATCTTTTCCCAAAACTAAGCAAATTTGTATTATTGGTAGTAGAGGTGATTTTTTTAAAATAAATACATAATATATGATTAATACATACATACAAACACCTAGGCATTATATAAACATTATGTTAATCGCATAACATTTTCCGGTAATGGATATCGAACGTGTTGTTTCGATTCCCCTTTGACAAGACGGGATCACAATCCACTACACCAGTCAGGTCAGTCTAGCTTTGATTTCTGTCCCATTACAACAAACAAATCTGATGAATCCCTATGGAAAGGTCTTCCTTCTTTTCTGAGAGCCAACGGTGCCATCGAACTGTTATAAGGAATATTACAAAAGCCTTTTTAAAAAGAACTTTATTTTTAACACTGCTTTTATGACACAAAATAGTATTAGAAATAAGTATTAACGCGATGGAGACTTGATTGAGACCGTCTTACGACTGTACTCGAACTAACCTCAATCTGATGCGCTTAGCGACTACGAATATGCTGACACAGCTCCTTTGTAGAGAGGTGGAATGCATCAGCCCTAGAGTATACGATATTAATATAAAACAGACATCTTTCTCAACACAAATCTTCTTCGTGGCTGGTAGGGCCACGCAACAGCCTCGGCTATTGCACGAATGGGCTGGCTCAAGTTTAAGTATAATACTTTCGCGTTTCGTATGATGAGAGAGCTCGCCGGAGCCCATTTTCAAAAGGTTGTTGGCGCATCTGGAACCTTCGGGTGTAGCAATGTCCATAGGCATATTCACTTAGCATCAGGTAAACCGCCTGCTCGCTTGGATTCGATGGAGAATTTTTCACATAAAAAAAAAGTATTTCTTGGATTCGATGGAGTATAGTGCCCGAGAAAGCCGAAGCGCGGTTTGAAGAAGATTCAAATCCGAGTGATATCACCAGAGTTTTCCGAGCATTTGATTTTTTCACTTGCATAAATTATCGTTTCACCATATGGTGGAGTATGGTGATACAGGATTAGGTCATTAGCCTCGTCGTAACACGAACCGACAGACAGTATACTTCATTTACATTAGGTTAGGTTTAAGTTTCGTCTTAGCAACGAACGCCTTTAGCTCAGGCTCATTTAGGGGAATATTACACTATCATTTATCTTGGACTCCAGATCTATGATGACGAAGTAATAGTGGTGCGCCACCACCGAGGTCTCCTCCATTCAACCACATATGATGTTAAATAGGATCAAAGGACCGAGATAATGTAGTACACAAATATAACTCAAATAGTTTCCCTTTATCTCATCGACAATCTTTATATTCGACTTTGACTAGTCCTTGAAAGATGCCCTACCTTTCGAGGAATCTTTTTAGGTTATAAACTATAAAAATATAGGTACATCTTACTAATCCGTATTTATTTATAGCTTACTAGCTTTTCGGTCGCGGCTTCGCTCGCGTATCTATATATATAATAAATATCTTTCAAACCCTTACAACGCTTTTTTCCAATTAAAAAGTAGCGTATGTCCTTTCTCAGGCTCTAGACTATCTGTGTACCAATTTTCATTTAAATCGGTTCAGCATCGCATTTATAATATTAGTATGGATGAGCTTAGCCGCCATCAGCCGTCACAGGGGCGAATTCAAATTTCGAAACTGCCATTGCCACACTCGAAATTTGAACTCGGTAATATCGGCCGCGGGGATAAATTAAAAATATATCGTGAGCGTCTCAGTTATTATTAGCACAGGTGTAACGGCGCGGGCCGAAGTGTACGGGGCGGTCACCGACATGAAATTCATTAACAAAGCCGCCTAATAACTTCCCCCCGAAGCCGCAGGGGTGGTCAGCGTACGCCGTGCGGGTGGTGGGAGGGGGCGAGTTGACAAACAGCGCCCTGTAATGTGCTACTGTTGAATTGCAAAAATCTCATTACGCTCTAACTGCCGTTATAGGAGTAATTAACCGCTGAGAACAACGAAAGGCGTCGAGCTGACGTCATTTTATAACTGCTCCCACTTCCTATCGTTCGCTTACTTTTACCTCGTCAACAAACAACTATGGCGACTCCCTTTCTCGTCTGTCTTTCTGTCTGTTAGATAGAATTTTTTTAAGTTATACCTCTTTCGGCGCGTTTGGAAAAATTATGAAAGTAAATTTTTACGATACACGCGCACTCCGATCCTCAAAAAGCGACATGATACTTGGTAACCAATTTAATCAACCAATAACAACTTTTTAACATTTACCAATAATTCCAAGCTCTTTAAATAAACCGTTAACACTTGCGTTTAATGTCTTAAAGCTAAAGAAGTATAACTTCTTACGTGCGTACATAAGTACATACATATATACTTATTTTTTGTAGTTTATTTTAAACTAACTTCGTCTTCAGATTTCGATGACAATGCCATATTGCCTTTGTTAGTTGTTTGTCAGATTGTTGGGACCAGATTTATTTCACGTAATCTTTTCAGCCCCTAGAAAAATGAGGAATATTGAAAACTTTTGATATCCAATTAATTAAATAATTAGCCGAGTTAGGGGCGCAGCAGTCCTTGCCGTTGCACGAATGGGCTGACTTGTCCGGGGAAGTACCACAATTTCACAATAGACCGGCGTGAATTGAAAGTGTTATAATACTTCTACGTTTCGTCTGGTGAGGTAGCCGGGGCCCAGTTTATTAAAAGTTGGCAAAAGACGTTACATATGTCCACATGGACATCTGTAAACCATTAACACTTAACATCGGATGAACCGTCATTTCCCTTGCTACTTTCTCACATAAAAAAAAATCATGGAGCACGGTACATTATCAGTCACAGTAAAGATTTTCGGCTCGCAATCGCCCCAACAACTTGACAATTTCCACGTGCAAGTTGCCTCAAATTCAGTTCGCAACTGCACCGGTGTAGAACATACGAGTCGATATTTTACGGCTGTAACGTATGCAGACATAGGTTTATTTGTACCGCCAGTCTCCAAATAAAGCGAGTAAAGAACGGAAATGTGTTTTACTGCGCGCGGCGAATCATTTCTTAAGCACTCACATATTTCTCAACGGCAACACTGAGGGCCAGTGCCGCAAGAGGACCAGTGCTCTATTGGGCACCCAATTCCTGCCTCGTTATTTACCACCCCAACGGCCTAAGTGTAACATCCAAAAAATAGCGAGCCATAAATCATATACCGGCGACCTGTATTTTGTTGCTACATCCACTCAGCACGGTATTTTTGATCGCCCGCGAACGCGACTCGTCCGCTCCAAGGATTCTCCAAGCCGTGGGTAATTGTGTTTCGTCATAACGAGTTTTTTCGGCGGGCCGCTCGCCCGCTCACCGCCGGATCGCATCGCGAGCGAAGCAGGCTATGAATCGTAGGCGATATTTACAGCTGGAGGAACTACGGTGCGTAGATATGTTACGTTCTCAGAATACATGCTTTCTAAATAGGTTGCGGTACAAAATAACGTAGGTTCGCCAACAGCTTTTCATATCAACGGAATAACGTTAACGTTAATATCAGGTTCGCCAACAGCTTTTCGTATCAACATGGAACATGGAACAACGATAACGTGACTATCAGACAACAAAAGTTAGTAAAAATTTTTGTAAATTTACGGTCTACTGGGTCAGAGTTTGAATCCCTATAGACATACCAAAACGTTATAATTTTTACTAGCAATATTCACGTTGAATTAATGATTTTATCCAATATCAAAAACATAAACTAAAGTTCTTACAGTATTACAGGTCGATTTTTTCGCCGGGGGAAAACATACAAATTAATTTTCTTTGAGTCCTATAAGTAGGTACAAATTGTCACAGTCTCATCTCAACCGGTTGAAAGAACATAGAGGACAAACACACAAACATGATACATAATATGAGAAAAAGAGGAAATGTTAGTAATCTATGAAAACATTTAAGAAGGTTGCAGTTAATTTAGTTACTTACGCATACACATGATGAATGTAGCATAAATTCATTAAAAAACGTGAGTTAAGGAACGAGCTAAGAAAATATGCCTTTGTATCTTTAGATTGAAAAAGCCTTTGTATCTTCGTTTAGATTGTCATTACACGATAACATATTCAAATTGTTACTCAATATTCATGCATATCGTATTATAGTCTACCCACGCAACGGCCACGCGGAAGCTACTGAAAAATAAAACGACATGTCGGCTATATACATTTTATTCAATCGAATGTCAGATCTATGGTGTCGTTTAAAACGTTACTATCGAGCGCGTCTTCCATTTCGTGAGCCGCGCGTCCCTCCCCATCGTCCGCCGCCGCCTTTTCCGGATCGACTTCTGCTTTCGACTTGACAGTCTCCTTTGGTGTGGTCGATTTGCTCGCGTTTGTCTTGCGCCTCCTCTCCTTTGACGTCGAAGGTTGCTTGCTCAGCGTCGTCTTCAGGTGCGCTTTCTACGAAAGATTGTTCGGATTCATCTACCTTAGCTCCGTAAGAGGACACTAAAGATAACGTCACCAGCTTGTAATAGCTGAAGTAATCTTCAAGGAAAGAGTACGTGGTTACGGACAAGATTTTCTTAATCTTGTGTTGTTGCAAATGGCGAAAGATTACAATGATCACTTAACATTTGGAGAGCTGCTTCATCGTCTACTAGCTACTTCATCCGTTTCATAATAACAATGTCTATATCTAAGTACCGTCTACTACGTAATTTTTTTTTTGAATAATATTAATTATCCGGAAACTCTGAAACGCTTCTTCACCTGTCCCATTAACTCATTTGAGTCTAAAACTACGCATTTCAAGATTATTCCGTTTCAACATCAGGAATATGAAGTTAGGAACAACTTAGGAACAGCTTTAACTTATAATGTAGAAAATACGATAATCATTATTATTAAATGAAACTATTCCTACGGATTTTAATCATCGGGAAATTTAAGTTAAAAAAATAATTTCATCCAATAATGTGTTCGCAGTAAATAAAAGAAATTATTAGACCATCACAATGATAAAATCGTTTAAAAATTACTCAGCTTCTTGACATTGACACTCACACTCGCGAACTGCCGAGTGACTCATACTTAGCCGTAAGTACGAAAAAAGGTAAAATGTGTATTTATACAATTCATATTTTTACTTGGACTCTAATTACAATGCGATGATTTCACTTGAGGTATTTAATAGCTGCGTAGGTTTTTTTCTTGACTAAAAGTTCATTCTTACGAGATTAGGCATCGTTCCAAAGTTCAATTCAAACGCATTCAGTCGGTGCGCCGTAATAGGCAACAAATGCACTTACAAATCTTCGCGTCCGTAATTTTCATCGCGATAAGCGAATCAGCCCGAAAACAAATTCGAAAAGCACCCGCGGCGGCTTCAATCATCGATGATGACAATTTTAGAGCGGCTCAACTAAAGCGCGGCCGTCGGCTAATAACGTTCCAATTAGGCGCATCATTTTGCCGCGAAAACAGGCAATTGCATAAATAAAATAGTCCATCAGCGGCGCTGGTTAGCCATTCAGGATCGTATTTAAATTAAAATTGGCGCCAAAATAACCGGAAAGCGATTCATTATTTTGGAATGTGCAGCCGACGCGACGCGGCGAAACGTTGAATAAACATACCCTAATCGCGTGCCGTGATAACACGCGGTCGCGACCGCGAGGAAAAAGGCGCCGCAGACAAACGAGAAATAGCGAATGCAAGGAGCTTAATTTGTGACTACCAGAGACCGCAGCGACTTACGCCGATTGCAAGGACTCTAATTTACAATTGTGGTAGAGATTATCACGGTGGTAGGGCCACACAGCAGCCCGAACGGGCAGTCTCTTGCACGAATGGGCTGTCTCGTCCGGGTCAGTACCACGACCTCACAGAAGACCGGCGTAAAGTGGAAGTATAATACTTTCGCGTTTCGTCTGCCGAGTGAAGTGGCCGGAGCCCAATTTTCAAAAGGTTGTCATCGCTTCTGCAACCCTCGGGTGTAGCAGATGTCCATGGGCGGCGGTATTCACTTAACATCAGGTGAACCGTCTGTTCGCTTGACAACTTTTGACATAAAAAAAAGATTAACAGCTTTCGCTGTGGCGTTGATTGACGTTTGAAAATGACAAGTAACATTAAAACTAGGACGTCCTAGTCAGGAGCAACGTGCCCATTTGCGTAGACTTCTTAGGCGGCTTCAAACCAATCGGAAATGGCAATTCGTCGCATGCTTTGGTTTGATGGGAGCGGTGGGAGTCGCTCTTGAAAGATCATTTACGTGCCGTAAACGCATTACCTCGTAGAAAGCCTATGTTAGTGGACGTTTAAAAACACCCAGTGGCTTACAAATGCGTTGCACCTCAGCCAGATAACAGCTACCGATCGAGCCGAGGTCCGGCCCTCTCGGGCACCCTCAAATCGGAATGCTAAACGCGTATTAAGTGACAGCCCAAGCCGAGGTCCCCTCTCGGGGACCCTTGAGCCTAGTCACTCCATGGAGCGTCCGCCAAATCGCCCTAAGAGCTTGGCTGCCTCCCAAACCGCTATTAATAATAGCGTGAGGGCCCGAGCCGAGGCTCCCTCGGGAGCCCTAGACCTTAGTCACCGGCCACCTCAAGTCCGGCGAAACTGTAAAGGCCCCTAAGGCCAACAGTGGCTTATCAATGCAATCAAAAAAAAATGCGTTGCCAATTTATGTGCCTTTAAAATTTCCAATCCATCTGGTCTCCTGTGAGGTACATCCCCGATGAAGCTGCCTACTAGGGATGTCGAAAGTGAAGAAATATATCAATATTTATAAAAACCAATATCGGCCACGGTATATCGAAGAGAAAATTCATTCCCATTCATGCCCATTCGTGCAGTAGCGGAATGATGCGTTCCATCACCACTATATCAGTAAGCCTCGCGAAAGAAGCGCTGTCTTAAAACTGTTGCCAATATATATACAGTACGAGACTGGGTGCGTTGTGATTCCAGGCCAATTGCCTGTAAGATATACATTCGTAGCCGATAAGGTTATCTATATTAGTATCATTAGTATTTGATTACTTAAAAAAAGATTGCCATTGTTAAATCGATATAAATTAATATGTATTTCTTTAAACGTCTACTATTAAGATAAAAAAGCAACAGATAAAATAAAAAATAAAATAAGCTCGAGCAAGAATGAGCACGTGGCCGATAACGATTGGTCGAAGTTCAGTAGTGGACGACCTACGGCTGATATGATGATGATGATGAATTTGCCACTACTGGATTGACCTAATGTGCCAAACCGACGGTAATATACGTCCTAGTAATTATCATGATTAAAGTAGACTTTCATAATTTCCATTGCTGTAAATCACAATCGACGCTATTATAATATCACGTGCAAAAGCTAAGAAAAGAAGATTAGGTTTTTAGATATAACAATCAGTTTAATTTATACTAGCCGCCCGCCCTGGCTTCACACGGGTGCAATGTATTATACGTATAAACCTTTCTCTTGAATCACTCTATCTGGTAAAAAATGCATCAATGTTGCGTAGTATTAAAGCTCTAAGCATATACAGACTTTATTCTATACTATGTTGTGATGTTAATAATTATAATTTCATTTCAATTATCGTAGATACTTTTTATAATATGCTCGCAGTTGAACATTGCAGCAATTTAAATTCATGACGCCCTGCTTCATATGATCTCAAGAACCGTGCCCGGGTGTTGTGGAATTTCTACTTGTGATTGGAGTAATAAATACGATATAATGTACCTTTCCATTTAATAACCATATCCTTATGCATGGCCTATGTTACTATAAAAATGAAAAAAGCGTACACACGTAAGCATACACGCGAACACTTCGTTATGAAATGATACTATTTTCTAAATTCCCCGTTTTTCGAATCATGTGCAACATTTAAGACGTGGGGCAGGCAGTCTTCCGAACGATGTCATTTCAATTTAAATCGAAACAATCCGTAAAAACAGTTTCATTGAATACTTTAAAAAAATATTCCATACATATTATTGATATATGCAAACACTTACCAGTGACGGATTTCTTCTCGCCAACAGTAAGACATCGTCCGCGTTTATCGTACTCCGTTTGGCATGCCTACAACGCAACATGCAAAAGTCTAATGCTACCATTTTCGCAAAACAAAGCACCAAAGCGATGCTCTGTTATATAATTTTGTATACATGTTATAATATAGGTCCACCAATATAGAGGTTTTAATAACAAATTTCAATACTCAATTCCAAAAAAAAATCATTCGCTATACAAACAATTGGCTGTGGAAAATTTGATGGAATCGGGAACCTGACCTGTCCTTGAGACCTCAAAAATATATGCGAAAAGCAACTATGAAGCGATTCTCACTAGAAGATTTTTTATGTGAGAAGGTGACAAGCGGGCTGGCGATTAAACTGATCATGAGTGATAACCGCCGCCCATTCACATCCACAGCAACACCCGTAGATTTGAAAAAGCGTTGCACCTTCTAATAAAATGGGCCACTCCGACCTCGCTCACCAGACGAAACGCAAACACTTCGCGCCGGTCTTCCGTGAGGTCGTGGTACTTTCCCGGCCCACCCGACTGTTCGTGCGACATCAAATATTGCTGCGTGACCCTACCACAGTTACTCGTAAAAGTTGTGATGACATTCTCGTAATGAAATTCAGTACAACACACGATAATATAAGTAAAGTCATAGTAGTGGAAACATTTCTTCAATAGTAGAAAATAAAAATGTACTTCGCAAAGGCTTCTAAGTCCAGGGCGTAGATCTTTATTTTCTTATACAGCAGTTCCGCAACAACTTCCATTGCCGGTTTCTCCATCTCCATCCCGACCAAATGGCACGTCTCCTTGCAGATCGCCATTACGTCACGATGCAGAGACGCGCGCAGTTTCTAAAAAGGCATTCTAGTATCACAAGCGAATAGAATACGCTTTCACAAGCACAACCAATGAAGTTTTAATAAAGACGATGCATGTCCATACTGAGCGGCTTTTAAAAATTGGTCCATTTTTCATCATTATATGACATATATAAGTGAATGTGACAGATTATATAGAAAATATAATATGTCAGAGATAAGAGGTAGCAGACTAATCAATTAAAAATAGGAGCAATTTGAGTGCCTCAGTTTCGGCACGATAGTGTCAAATCTATCTCGTATTTGTATATAATATCATTGAGCACAACGCAGAATTGCGGGACGCACGGGACAACCATTTGTGACTACTAGATAGTTGTTTCGGATCTGAGTGTTTGTCCACGTGAAACTAATGTATGTCAACCGTCCTTACAACAGAATATTGTTATCCTATAGTAAGGGCGCTATGTTTTCGAAGGGAATACTATAATAGATGTTTCTAAGTCTACGAATAGACTTAAAAAGATTGCGACTTACTTTTTTTTTACGTGGGAAAAATTCTTTATTGATCCCCCGCCGCCTTGTGGGTAGGCATCAGGGGTATGTGGGTGTTACGAGGTACCCACTAAAAAACCCATGTTGCACCTGCGCCGTCGCTTTGCCGGGAACACGGGAACACGAAAACGCAATCTTCCGCGTACCCCGGCGCGACTGTGGCCTTCTCAGTCCTTCTCTCCCCGGGTGCTTAGACACCCGGTCCAGCCAAACAGCCATAGCGCGGACCACGGCGGGTAGCGAGAGATCGTGCCCCACGATAGCCATCCGCTCTCGGCGCTGCTCCCGCTAGGCTGGGCACTCCTCCAGTGCGTGTTGGGCCGTCTCCTCGGCACGTACGTCGCAGTGGTGGCAAACCGCTGTTGGCTCCCTCCCAGCCAAGTGGCACAGGTACCTCCCAAAACAGCCATGTCCCGAGAGAACGCACGCCGCCTCACCGGATATCGTCCGGTAGTCCCGTATGGCCCGTATAGCCAACACCCTCTGCGGTCTGCGCAGAAGCACCATGGTCTGGCGATTCAGGGTGTCGGCCCAGACGGGAGCACCGTACAGGGCCAAGGACCTCACGACCCCGGTGTATACGCGACGGCAGGAGTCGTTGGGGCCACCAACGTTCGGGAGCAGCCTTCCGAGTGCGGCCGCTGCTCTCGCCATTTTTGGAGCTAGACGCTCGAAGTGGGGAACGAAATTCCATCGGCGATCCAGGACTAGGCCGAGATACCTCATCGTCGGCTTGACGTCGACACGGACGCCGCACACTACAATGTGAGCGTCCGCAGGTGGCGCATTCCGAGGCCCATAGAAGCAAAGGGCTTCAGATTTATTAAGCGCCACTTCTAGCCCGAATGCGTCCCACCACGTGCACCTCTCCCGACAGATAGGCCCCGATGATATGGCTCAGGTATAGAGGTACTCCATGGAACCGGAGCACCTCCTTTATGCAAGCCCAGGGCAAGGTGTTAAAGGCATTGGCGATGTCAAGAGACACCGCCAAGACGACCTCCCCCTGGGAAACCGCCTCCTTCGCGAGGGACCTCACTTGCAGCAACGCGTGAATGGTTGACCGGCCCCTGCGGAATCCGAACTGCCTGTCCGCCAAATTCGGACTGACGCGTTCGAGGTGCTTGACGATGCGGCCGGCGATTACTCTTTCGAAGAGCTTGCCCACATCGTCGAGAAGCACTATCGGCCGATAGGCGGACGGGGAGTCGGCTGGACGCCCTTCCTTCTTGATGAGGACGAGTCTGCCTGTCTTCCACCTCTGTGGGATAATGGCTTGAGCCAGACAGGCAGTAAACATCGCCCTCAGCGTGGTCTCCAGAGCGTCCTCCAGGGCCAGTACCCATGCTCGACCCGGGATAGATTGCGACTTACTACCCCAACCCTTCCAAACAAAATACATATAAAAAATCAACACGTCCGTCCTTATTTAAGATATAAAATTCTTACTGTTTCAGGGCCAAGCATTCTGCATCAGTTGCACTAATGGGTAGGTACGTCAGGGGAATTACGACAGCCTCATAGAAGACCAGCGTGAGGTGGAAGTATAACATACATACATAGTCATCGGTACATACATAACATACATAGGTACATACTCATCGGTTACTTAAGCCTACCTCAATGTACCAACAATCTGGTCGAGCTATACGTTTTAATGTCGCCTACTTCAAGTGATTATTGTCGCCAATGGATACAAACAACACTCTTACAGCGATGGGGCCCTGGTAACCCCAATCACCAGATAAAAAGCAAAAGTATGAAAACATCTGCTGGAATTAAAGCAAGGCCGCCACAATACATGGAAATATTGTTTTAAAATCTAATTAGGTTTCAGCAATTGACTACGATCGTAGACATCATTACTGCCAACGAGATATTGTTTCAAAGTTCTCAAAGTTTACGATCTACATTGTTCATCGGAATGAGACGTCAATGTGTAAACGTAACGTACACGTATCATTAGAAGAACAATGTTACCCACCAACTTAGCTTTTAATTACGTAAAAAAATCTAAGTCGGCAAACACGCTTGTTACATTTTCTAACGCTTATTACATGGCTAATTTGAATTCAGCGCACTCTGTTGTAACCGTAAAAAACTGCGTCTTAAGTTTGAAATACAGATCATGAATCATCAAATATATAAAAAATTCAAATTTGGCATAAACAGACACATATGAAGAAAATTTTAATGAAAAATGTGTTTCGTAATTCTATTAACTTTTTAAAACTATGGCTAAATGATTATAAGAATCCACGAAATAGGTAGACACATGATTTAATTCAGCGCCACCTAACGTACTAAATCAGCACATTACTAAACCTATTTCACCTGTTGACGAAACTTTATTAGAAACTTAAATCTTAATTTCATTTTTGAACAGCGAATTATTTTAAATTCGACTACAACAAATATCGACATACAAATCACGACATTTATAGATAAGCTTTTATTATTACATACCTGGGATTTCGTTAATTTTTCGAATGTAGGCATGTTAATGTGTATGGCAATTATTCGGATATCATTTATGAAGAAATTTTTAACTATTGTAATTAAGCCTTATAAATACACTTAAGCATTTTTAAAATCGGTACCAAACTACATTACTATAACTTATTCACTTAATGTAACTATACCTAATTGTAGTCTATTTGACATATTATGACTTTACGGTTGACAGTTGACTTTGAAGTTGACGTTCATTAAAAGTTCAACAACAAAAGCAAAGTTTTTTAATTATTGTTGCATTGACAGACATGAAGCCATCTACTTCGGAAAAGTACAAAATCGTAATATTGGTATACAATCATAGAAATGTAATATTTCCTACTCGGACAAAAGGATTAAATTAACCCTAGAAGCCCAATCTAGGTCATTTTTACCTATAGACAAACAAATATCTGCTTTATCTTTTGCACAGTACTTTCGATCGCCGTGATAGATCGAACCAACTTAGTACCCGCCAAGAGGTCACAGGAGCCGGTGGTGTAGTATTGGTAAGTCCCGTCATACTGGAGTTACCAGACTGTTGTAGGTCAATTTGACCTATGTTTAGGCTTTGTGTAACTTTCACTTTTATTTTAAGTTTTTAAAAATAATTACTTCAAGCGGATTAACGTTGTATTTTATTGATTTATTAACGAATAAATATTATTTTAGTAAAAAGAACAAGATGGTGTCCTCTAGACAGCTGAGAACCGACGAGATAGTTAGCGAAGGGACTGTTCAAAATGAAAATATGCAGTGGCGGATTTATAGTCTTGGCCGCCCTAGGCACCAGCCCATGTAGTAAGTTCCAGCCGCCCCTTTCTCAGAGCCCATCATATATCTTGTAATCATCAGTGAATCTTTTGTTACGATTGGCCGCCCCTAACATTTGGCCGCCCTAGGCCCGGGCCTATTGAGCCTTAGGGCAAATCCGCCAATGAAAATACGTCTATTGAATCGACTACAAATATACCTCAGTCATCATCAAACAAAATCATTGTATTACCACAACGTTCATTGCGCTCAAAGAATAACCATGTTTGGAGTACCGTAAAAGGTAGATCTAGTGGAGTGGGAGGACTTCTTTAATAAGCGTTTGGAAGCCCCTACTTTGAAGGGTTCAGTGCGGTAAAATATAATGAATATCCTTCAAAATGAGCCGCAGCCAGTGCCAGAGGCCCTCCTAGAAGAACCAGAACCGAAAAAGCGTCGTAACTGTCTTATAAAAAACAGCAGAAAATAAAATTCACAGTGCATAAAATGTAAAAAGGCAATATTTCGTGAGCACAATATTGATGTGTTTCACACAATTATAATTAAAAAAATATTATATGAAACTATTTTATTGATATAGAACATTTATTTGTTAGTAGAAAAAAATATTTTGTTTAGTGTTTTTGTTTAATTTTAGTTTAAAAGAAAAAAAAAACCGAAAGGATCTCATTTTGTACCAAATTTTAGTATTAATTAGTCATAGCTGTTATTTCAAAGTCTAATAAATACATATTATTCTAATTATGCTTTTTTTCATTTCCGAAATGATTAATATAAATAAATAATGATATAAAATAATAAATTTAACAAAGTAAGATATATGTGGATTTACTCACATAGGTTGATTTGACCTATGATTAGGCTTTTTAGACAAAAAAAAATATGATTGGGCTTCTAGGGTTAATTTAGTATAAAAGGAAATTTTATAATAAAAGCGTACCTAATTGAAATTATATTGATATAGTACAGATAAACAAGTTTATTTGTGTTTAAAGTACTCATTAGGCGTAAACACTTTTTTTAAATGAATTTAAGGACATACAAGATCATTGTATCATTTTAGAAATATAAAAATTAATATGTACAATTTAAAATAAGAAATTAAATATTTTCTGTTTTCTCGTTTATGAAAGCTGCTTAGCTGCTATCTTTACATTTATTTGAGGCGAAGGACTGAGTTCATATTCAAAACCATTGTGATTTTATAATATGCAACATGGGACTAGATGTATTGCTGTTAGTGCCGACAGCAATACTCAGACCATAGTAGTTCTTTAGACATGAGTCTGTTGTATTATATTGCATGCACTATTTCTTTAAGCATCTCTTTTTTTAAATTTCTTTCGGTTTTTAATTTTCTATTTGTACTTTTATTTTTTTCTACTTTAGACTTTTAGACTTCATTTACGGTGGTAGCCCTATCACGCAGCAGCCTCGGCTGTTGCACGAATGGGCAGGCTCATCCGGGTTAGTACCACGACCTCACAGAAGACCGGCGTAAAGTGGAAGTAACGCCAGACGAAACGCGAATGTATGATACATTCGCGTTTCGTCTGGTGATTGAGGTGACCGGAGCCCAATTTTCAAAAGGTTGTCAACGCATCTGCAACCCTTGGGTGTAGCACATGCCCATAGGCGGCGGTATTCACTTAACGTCAGGTGAACCATCTGCTCGTTTGGCAACTTATAAAATAAAAAAAATATCTAAAGCAGAAAATCCAAAATAATTGTCTCTTTTATGTTAAAATTGTAATCTGGTTTATGATTTAGTAAATAAAATAAAACTGAAGTCTCAATTTCTCCTGTCTGCGTCAAAAAATTTTAATCGCACAACTTAGAAGACGCACCAATATTATTTTTTCACACATACAATAATGTTAACAATCTGCTATATAAAATTAAATAATCATAAAAGCAAAATCTGATAATCTCTAATTGCTTTCATTTTTAAAGTTTTCCATCACATCTTTGTTTACAGCTTCTCAGTATTTCCTGTAATTTGGGCAACCTACAAAAGATAAATATTTTATGAATGGCATAAATGGGCAGGGTTGTTCGCTCGTTCGGGGAAGTACCACGGCCTCACAAAAGACCGATGTGAAATGCATTTAAATACTTTTTGTCTCAACATGATTCACTTGTACAGTATTATTTTTATGCAATACTTCGTAACCAATTTGCAATGGATATAAATAAAAAATCGAACAAAGCTGATCCGAAAAAATACTATGCGTATGACGAACGTCACAATGTTGATTTATTAATTATTTCAACTATCCTATTTATTTACGTTAACATAATTTAAACAATAACTTTTATTATAATACAGGCATTTTAGGGGCTTTTGAAAAGTGTACTTTTTAGGGCTATTTAATCTTGATTTTGGGGCAGTTTTTAAATTAGTATGCAGCACTTCCCTTTTCTTGACTTATCACTTAGTGATTACCAACCTCCTTCAGCTCGTTTAGCCGGGATAATACTTTCAATTTAAAGAAATAAAAGTAGAATAAGTTAGTTCCTGATTGCAGAATAGCTTTTAAATTATACCATGGTAGTTAAATACAAAAAGACCAGATAATTTTGGAGTTCTACGAAAAAATTAAACGACAAATTAAACTCACAATTTAATGAGCATTATGTAAAAGACGAGATAACGGTAAAGCTCCAGAAAAGCGCGTCATCCTAGTAGTAAATCATCATTTCATATGTTGGTTTACTTGTCTCCACCGTGTAATATCAAAATATTTGAATTTATTGCAAAAAAATTGACGTTTTAAAAGTATGAGGCACTTTTCTTAACAAAAATATAGTGCATTTTGTTAGTACGTAACATCACGGAGTTGTTTGTTTATAGTAAATACATAATCTCGATTTGCATATGAACGACTATCCCGTTTGATAAAAGCTGATGTATCATGTGATTTTTTATCTTATTATTATATAAAAAGTATGCATTGTATAATTTTCTTCAAAACTGATCAGCAAAGATTTTCAAATGGATTGAATGTTCTCAAAGATCTTTCTCATATATTTATCAACAACATAGAATTTACCAATGTTAAGTATTTAAGTGATAGTAAGAAGGACATCTAGTTACTTTGTTTCCATGCCTATTGTAATATAATATGACATACAAATTTGGAGTGGCCATGATTGTGCTTGGATAATAATTTCAAAGCATTAGGTGTGAAACAGCTATGAGTAAGTTGTTCACTAGTATATGGAAGACCATTTTTTTAACAAAATGAAACAGACAAAGTTATTATTAATTTACATGCCACGTTTAATATAATTGGTGTGTATTTGTCTTACTGATCGATCACCTTTTGTTATGGTTTAATATGTTTAAAATTTTTATAATATAACCAGAAAACTAGCACAGAAAATCCTTTAAAAAGCTATAATTTTAACAATTTCACATATAGCTTTTGATAGAGAATTAATATTGGTTAAAGATAATCTGTTCTATTATTTTATAAAGTAATGATAATCATGTCCTTTTTTTATATACCCAACACTTAAATTTAACAATTTGGATGATTATATAACACTTAACATTCTCTCTTGGTTTCAAAAATATAAATCTGTCACTTCATTTATGTCAAATTTTATTTTAAACTTTCTTCACAATTTGAACAACATCCTCATCTGCTAGGACATGCTCAATTCCAACCTTTTGCGGTTGATGCTTCACAGAAGAACCCCACACTAAGGCACTGAAAGGAAAAAATAAATGTTAAAAGAATTTTTGCTAGAAAATATTGTATTATTCGGTGTACATCTACTGTGTAAATTGTTTGTAATTTTAAATAATATACTTACTATTTAAATTCTTTCACAATGGATCTATGCAGCTTGTTACAAAAGTCTTCAATACTAGTTTTATCGGCATGCAAAACAACTGGAGAGTTATAATCTGGCAGTTGGCCTTTCGGTTTTGTATATATCCTGATCAGTTTCAGATATTCCCACATCTTTTCGAGTAAGTCGTCAAAATTCCATTTGTGATGGGCAGAGATTGGGACACAATGAGGAATCTTGTATATAACATCCAATTCTTCAATACTAATTTGATCTGTAAAATACATTAAAATTAAAATACTTTTTTTAATGTAAAAAGTTGCCAAGCAAGCAGGCAGTTCACCTGATGTTAAGTGAATACTGTTGTCCATGGACATCTGCTACTACCGAGGGTTGCAGATGCATTGACAACCTTAATAAAATTGGATTTTGGCTACCTCACTCATCAGACGAAGCGCGAAATTATTATATTTCCATTTCACGCCAGTCTTCTGTGAGGTTGTGCTACTTACCCTGACGAGCCTGCCCATTCGTGCAACAGCCGAAGCTGTTGCGTGGCCCTATCACCTTCTTTTAAAGAATTAATTTCTTTAGTTCCTTTCATTCTTTTAGGAATTACTTTTTAATTGTAATATTAAAAGTTATGTTTTGAGACTATGTTACATATATTATGTCTTTTAATTGAGTCTGAAATATGCAACTGAATTTTTAATGCTAAATCTATTCCTCAAATCATGTCCATGTTCACTTGGCATTAATTTTATATTTCTAAAGTAATAAATTAATATCATCTGTGAATGCTGACAACCTTTGTCAGCATTCACAGATGATTTATTTTGCCACGCAATGCCTTTTTAAGGTATTGCATGGCAAAATAAATCATCCGATTCTATTGCAGCAGATGAGGCTATGCGTACCAGAAGGATATTTGAGGAGGAGGCGGCGGCCGATGCTATTATCTGTACCTAGGTCACGGACTAATTTATTACGTTTTTCACCACTGACTCGCGCGTTTTGTACTTTAAATACAGTAGCTAATGAATTCGATTTATTCCATTGCTCATTGAACAAGTTCACATTGGCTACGATCCATGTTCTGAGTGTTTAGTTTTAGTTTTAGTTATAAGTTAACTTATAAGTTAGTTATATGTTAACTTAAATTGTATTCGAACTTCACTATCGCATTAGGTACAGCCTATAATGATAGTTGTAAGTTGATGTATAAAATAAATAAATAAATAAAATAAGATATTATATAAGTAGTACTAGCAACCCTTGTTTGTTTTCGAAATTGCATTAGAAATAAAATTATCAGTGTTTCTCTACTATATTATTCATGAATTTTACATTTAAACCTTCCTCTTGAATCACTTTGTCTATTAAAGAAAACTGCATCAAAATCCGTTGCATAGTTTCAAAGATCTAGGCATATAATATAGGGACAGACAGACAGTGGGACAACTTTGTTTTATACTATGTGGTGAAGTTAAGCTTAAACATAATACTGTTGCTAGAGTGAAGTGTTCATACTATGATTCAATCATCAAACTTTACCAATTTTATTCAGCAGATAGATGCATGGAACATAAATTCTGTTGCCCTCTATGACGTCTATTAGGTCATCGCTAGTGGCGTCGTATCGGAGTGTTATATCAGCATTGTGAATCTTGTATTCAGATAAAATTGTTTTTACGGCTTCAATGTCAAGTTCTGATTGTGGACACTAGAAAAGAATACACAGAAATTGTCATTATCCTAAATGATTGCAGTGTGATAGTTCAGTTAGCCCCCTCAAATCGAAAACTCTGTACATATTACTCTATAAGCAATGAAACTGAAAAATCATATAAAAATCATAAGATATATTGGAGTTGATATTGTTAAGTTTAAATGAAATATATTTTTATTAAGATAATCAAATGTATTAAAATGTAACTTACAGTGATATTCAAATTTATGCCACCTTTATCTTTTTTTCTAAAATGTATGTTTGGAGGTTGTTTGTTCAATCGCAGGCCAAATCCTTCCAACTCATGTTCTAGAAGTTTCTTATGTTGTAGTGGCTTCAGTACATCGAGAACTATAAAAATTAAACTGCATGTTCGTGCAACTGCTATTACTTGTCGACCTCTACCTTTGCCATCTTTAGCACCCTCAATAATACCAGGAAGATCAAGAAGCTGAAAATCAAAAAATATATTAAAGATATACTCTAGAAGCGTGTTCAGTATTCTTTGTAATCCTACAAAGTCTTAGATTTTCTCTTTACAAAATAAGATCTGGTAAGGTATTCCTGCCTATTTGTGCAACAGCCTTCACTTTTGCACCAATGAGCAGAGCCAGGGGAGACATTCAACTTCACAGAAGACCTGCATGAATACACCTCTACTCTGGTAATTGAGTTAGTTGGAGTCCAATTCATTATATCATGGCTATGCATCTGATATACATCAGGTGAATCGGCAACTTCTTTGCCACCTTCTCATATAATGAAAAAGAAATATAAAAAAGAAGGATATTTTACTTTTGCTTCTATAAATGCATTTATACAAGCTATGTTATGTTATAATCAAATGTTATGTTGTAATCACAAATTGTTCAAAATCATTTAACATAGTCGACAGGATACATTGAAAATTAAAACATGTAGATACATTTACTAATTTACCTAATGTTATAGAATTCAATATCCATATGTTAAAGTGCCACTCATTTAAGTCTATAATTAGTTTAATACTAAAATAAACATGCCCTTTAGGCAATTTATAAAAAGAAAAAAATTTTTATATATATATATATATATATAATAGGAATCTCGGAAACGGCTCCAGCGATTTTCGTGAAATTTAGTATGTGCGTAGATTCGGGGGCAAAAATCGATCTAGCTAGGTTTCATTTTTAGAAAATTTCCTTTTATTCCTGTTTTCAGGGAATGAAAAATATCATTTGAATATAACGGTAAATTTCTCCGCAAAAAAAAGTTATAATAGCACGGTCGGTAATCAGGCAGCCCCAAAACAGACAGCTGCGGTTCTATCACAATCATTTACACACATACTTTTTTGTCTATACCTGATCAATGCTTTCTTTAATTTTTATATTTCCAAAATGTTGACATGATTTAGAAAAACAAAAAAAACGAGCAATGCTCGATCCTCCAGGTACTGTAAGTTATACAATGTGCGTTGGTTGATACTTGCAATCTTTAAAAATTTTAGTTGGTCAAATTAAATTTAGTAATTTAGGCTCTTTTATTTATTTTAATGTTACCTGTATTTTTGCACCTTTATATTTAATGCAACCTGGGACAGTTGTTAATGTTGTGAATTCATATGCTGCTACTTCTGAATATACTCCGGCTAGATTAGAGAGTAATGTTGATTTTCCAACAGATGGGAAACCTACAAATCCAATTCTAGCATCACCAGTTTTGGCGACATCGAAACCTGAAAATGAGGTTTATTCTTTTTATAGAATAATTCTTGGCATCAAATTTTAATTAAAACCATGGTAAAAACTATTGTTTTTTCAAAATTACGGCCATATAATTAGAATCATACTTTTGTTTACATACTTGCACAGTATGAAGTGTTATCAACTGGTAACTTTTATTTCCATTACCAGCTTACCTTCGCCCGTTGCACCACCGCCGCCTTTAGGAGTAATGAGTTCTCTTCTCAACTTTGCTAATCTTGCCTTTAGAATACCTAAATGCAGGGCCGTTGCTTTATTTTTTTGTGTCCGGGCCATCTAAAATGTTTATAAGATATTAACATTTTTTTACAAGTTTGAATTCTTGTGGCTTAATAGGTCACACTTGACGTAAAAAAATAGCACTTTCAGTATACTTTCTAGATTTACGAAAAAAATAAAAGCCATAACCTCCGTTACATACCTCGGCCTCAATGGCCGCGATTTTCTCTAAGATAGTACTCATTTTGTTTATATATTTTTAATAACAAAAAGTTATTCCAGAGGAATATTAACAGTAAAAAGTTTGATCTTAATTCTAAGACAGTATAAATAATAAGAAAAAAATAGAAGGAAAGCGTGTCAGTCTTCCTTCATTCGCACACCGAACAATTTACTTTAGGGTTGCCATTTGCCAAAAATGCAAAGCCGTGTAAAGCCATGTTAACTCGAGCGGTCAGGATGTAAAATAAGAAGTTATAATAGTTTCTTTCTAAAAATATTTAAAAAAATAATAAATTCCATTTATAGAATTATAGGGACAAAATTGAAATACGTACATTTCTAAAATAGTTGGACAAATTATAATATAGTTCATTGCCATCTCGTGACAAGAATCTTTTTCTACCTCCTTTCCGATAGTAAAGCTTCACTATTTTTCTCATAGAGGCCTCTGTAATATACGTAAATAATGAATCTAACCACGTGAAAAAGCTTTCCCTGTAGGTTTGCGCATCGCTACTAACTACAAGCGTAGAAACAGTGAAAAAACTGTTTGGGGGTATGTCTCCCACAGTTATGCTTCAGTACCACACAGAACGTCGGCGCGCCTAGAGCTTTTGTAGTTAAGCCTTCAACAACGTCAGCTAAGTTTTCGATAAAACAAACTCTGTTAAAGTTTCATTCGCGGTGCTCCAGGATTTGATTCCTTCACGACAATGTTGTACTTTATTAATAATCACTACTGTGGATGATAAACTAGTGTAATATGTATAATACGATCATTAGAAATTTAAAAAACTATTTAGGGGAATAATTCTTTTCGTGGTTACCGGTAAGTTTGGGATTTGTAATTAAGTATATAAATTTTCACAGTAGGTTTTAAAAGAGGTATTTTTCAAATTAACAATTAATTTATTATTATTTTAAATTTCCTAAACGCAGATAAAAAGTTGGAACCAAATTCAGCTGAAATCATTCAAAAAAACATTATTTTTTTTAATCAATGCATCGTTGTTTTATAAAAATAACATAAATTATTTGAATAATTGGCACTGAAATTTACATTAATAATGATTTAACAACATGAGCTATAAATGAAACGTTCGAAAGTCTATAGCTTTTATTGATAGAGGTATATTTTTTAAATAAATAATGCGAACATTTGATATGAAGAAAAAAGAGAGAAGGTAATAAAATAAAGATATTCTTTACATAGGAACTGAGACTGAGAGGTTGGAAACATGGGTTCGTCGCATACGGTTACGGATTCGTATCCCACAGGCACGCAAAGAGTTTTTCATCAAAATATATAAATATATATGTCTTCGGATTTTTGTTTTTTATGGAATGTATTGGAATATATATCATTACACTATGTCTTTTACAGTTATATATAAATAATAGTTACATTTCGGGGTGTTTTGTCAGTCTTAAATTTAATTTCGATATTTGTGTTTTCACCTGTGTCTACTGTTTCATGTTATTTGTTAATTGGTAGAGTCTAATGGCTAGAGCTTGTAAATATCTTTTCTGTTCACAAATCAATATCAATATCTAGCAAAATTGCTATAGATATTATGGGCATTATATTACACATATATTTTATTTATTTTTTGTTATTTATACTTTATTGCAATTACCTTAAACAAGGATTACAAAGGGCGAACTTAATGCCTTTAGGCATTCTCTCCCAGTCAACCCGGGGCGTGGAGATAAATTGTGGTAGGTGCAATAAAAAGAAGAAAAAAAAAACAAGTACATTACTAATGTGAATGAAATATACAATGTATGGAATATACACACGCTTAAATAAATATAAATACTTACATACATATACAACATAATTATATATATATATATATATATATTATATATATATATATATATATATACAAATATACAATACATATTATATATAAAAATACTAACATATATACATAAATACAAACATATAAACGATATTGAAATAATGATGAAATTTAACATTCAGATGTTAAGTAAAATTCGCGGACTTTGCGTTTGAATGAGGCCTTGCAAGGGGCGCTACGTATGTCTTCAGGCAGGGAGTTCCAAAGTAATGCAGCCTGAACGGCGAAAGAGTCACCGAAGAAACTAGAATTATGTGGAGGAATAGAAATTTTGAGGTTAGATGAAGAACGGAGGTTTCTTTCGTTGTTTTGATAGAGGTATTTAAATTTATCTTTAAGATAGGATGGTGAAGCTGGGTCATTTAAAATCGAAAAAAGCATGAAGAGAATTCTTGAATTCCGTCTTTGTTTAACTGTAAGCCATTTAAGTCTAGTGCGATAGGGAGTAATGTGATCAAATTTTCGAATGCCGAAAACGTATCTGATACAGTTGTTGTTACATATATATAATAGGGAAAGTAAAATTACCTTTTTTTTTGTGTCACTTCGTTGCTTTTAGTTTCACATTTTATTTTACCATTCCTCTACGTTTAAACACGGGCTCACGACCATAAAAAAATCAATCACAACTTAACCTAATCGTCCTATGGATTCGGATTTCGTCAGGCGTCATTGCTAAAGTATTTTTCTATTGAAACGACCCGGCTCTACATCGTTTCAGTCGATTAGATACGCTGCTTTTTCTACGCGTTCGAATGTAATATACTAATGTGAAAAATTCTTCGAATACGACAATTTCGTATTCGATCTGCATAGATACAACAACAGACTGATCATCGTTGATTTGGGTTTTAATTATTTTGCTATTTGCTTTAATATCTCAATTGTTTAATAATTCCAATTGATTTCATTAACGGGCTTAAAATATATATATGTCATGTCATATACATATGTCATGTCTTGAGCGAAACGGCTATTCATTGTTGAAGCTACAGAAATACATTAACTTAAAATCATTATAAATATTTTTTTATTAATTTGTAAGTACATTAAATTAATAAAAAATATTTATAATGATGAACTCTAGCGACATGTTGTTAATATTAGCATGGTTCCTTTCAGTGTCTCTTATTCCTGAATAATTAAAAAAAATCGATTTCTACAGTTTCACCACAACCGCTGACACAGGACAATCAATGACTGTATATGCTTACCTTGTTCATTCTTTTATTTTGTATTTTATATTTCTTTTTATTTTCGCCACAACACATGTTTGCTTAATTCATGTATAGGTACATATTTATTTCTGAAGCAATCTAATACGAGTGCCGTTGAAAACTTAACAAAGCACACGATCCTATCTGTATGAAAGGTTGAAGTAGATCACGACTCGGCGGATCTTAAATCGCGTGTATTTGTACGATTGAACGTAGCTCGCCGTATTCGCCATTAACGGTACCAAAATCTGCGATATAAAAATGAAATTGCAGAAAAGGAGGGAACACGCTTAATGTTCCACGGTCATTTACGGTCTTTTAATGATATTTTCAACCGACTACAAAAAAGGAGGAGGTTCTCAATTCGAATGTATTTTTTAATTTTATTTTATGTTTGTTACCAGAACTTTCGATTGAGTGAACCGATTTTTATGATTCTTTTTTTTTTATTTGAAAGCTGGTGCTTCCCATTTGGTCCCATATTAATTTCATTGGTATTGGATCTTGGCCTCTGGAGATACTTAGGGAAATCCTGTAAATCAATTATAAAATGAATACAGAGTGAGATATTCGAAGTCGGTTTTGTTTTTCGTTAATAAAGATAAAGAATAATATTTTTTTATTCTGTTTATTTAGTATTTGTTTTTAAAGCGGCAACATAAATACATCATCTATGAAGATTTTGACTGTCTTATGAGATACAGCCTCATGACAGACGGACAGACACACAGAAAGACAGACAGACAGACAGACAGCGACTTACTCCCTCCCTAATAGGATCCCGTTTAACTCTTTGGGTACGGAAACTTAAAAATGTTTTTTGAGTTGAAGTCTGTGCCAATCCATAGTGAAGACGCGTTGCGGCCTAAGTCTTAAAACTCTATCTTGAGGTCATGGTCCAGCACGGGGACATATCTATATATATAGGCTCTGTATAGGCTTACTTACAAACTTGCTTCTCAAGAGCTGACATTTTGATTCGTTGAATTAATGAAACCCATTTTCCGTGGTTTGAACGGATGAAAATGTAAGGTAGTTTTAAATCGTTATTACAATGGAAAACCATAACTGTAAAAGTTTGATACGAAGATTTGTTGTGAAATAAAAAAAAAGATAGAACTGCTTATCTGTTAAATTAGTAAATATTAAACTTTGTAAAAATAAAGTTGAACACTTTTATTTTATGAAGTTTAATAACAATTTAAAATAACCAAATTGTTTGCTCTGTTAAATAAAAACATTTTATTTGTGGCAGGGGCACATCAGCTATTGCAGCGTTCTTGTACCATTATTTAATACGCTTATAACATTATTTAAGTCGTCGCTTAGCAGGCTCCTAGTATATAGTATCTACCTATCTATCTATCTAGTCACATATATAGAATACTAACTATATACAGTATCTACCTAGTCTGCGGTGCTGGCCCTAGCCTTAAATAATGTTACAAGTGCACAAGCACGCTGCAATAACCGACGTGTCCCTGGCACAATTAAAATGTTTTTATTCAATTGAAAATATCATAAATGTGAAACTCACGGCTTTATTTTGAATTGTAATTAGATTGTGTAATATATTGTCATTAGATTGTGTATAATAGAATTGTATAATATTTTTTATCTGAAAAAAGAATTTCACGTCGTTTTTTTCCCGTGTACGGCTTGAACAAAATGCATTCCGCTCTTCAATTTGAGGTCCATTAAATGCGCATCAAAACGATGTCCCGTTTTTCTTCAATAAGCTCGAAGCCCTTCATTCAACACCCTTTACACCGTGGTTCTTCTTCACCCCACCTGAAGGGTCAATAGTTTATTCTTACGCATAAGATATTTCTGGATTCGCGTATTCCCGGTTTTTATCATTGATGCAGTCGTAACCTTCTTTTTCTTTCTTCTAATCGTTTGATTAATTATAACCAAAATGTTCGTTTATCGTCCCGATATCTCCCCCGATATCTTTTGGTTATATTCCAACTTTTCATTAGTTCGAAAATCTGATTTGGCGCGAAACCACACAGATGAATCTCGATAATCGCAGCCTGGTCTTCTTTAAGCGTGCAGTCCATATTTAAAAATAAACTTAACTATAAATAGTGCACCGTTTTATTTTCATAAACATTGGAAATTCGAATTCAATAAATATTTTCGTGGCCAGCATTTATAATCTTTAAAAGTTTTCATTATGTAACAACTTATGACCCGACTTTAAGGAAATCACGTAGCATTACCTAAACCTGCTCGTATTATCGTAGAATATGGTCGTAGCAATGATGTGATCGTAGCGTTATTCGTGTAGTCTACAAACCAACTCGCATCATCTTTGTGATGTCATTATGGTGGTATATTATCATTCTAGTGTGGTTGTTTTAGACGATCTTATCATGTTTACTCGCACTTATTTACTGTACCGTGTTCGTGTAGTCTTCAACACATGTCGTATGATATTTGTGGTCGTAATCGATACTCGCCCATTTCGTTATTTTAGCGTTCTCCTATGACCAGTGAACATGTTCGTAGAGTTGTATCATGTTAATATTATAGTAAATGTGCTCGTATTTTTCTAATAAGCTAGTATGGTCGTTTATCTTGTCCGTAGCTTTAATGAAGAATATTAATAGTAGCGTGATTGCGATAAGCCCGTAGCAGTACACCGTAGCGTTACTATAACGCTCTCGTAGCTCGGATGAGGCACTTTTATTTTTTGTTTTATTGTTATTCCCGACGTTTTGAAACCTTTACAGCGTTCATGGTCTAAGACAGACTGAGGCGTTGGACGTCTGGGTGTCATTAAATCGCGTAAATACATTCTAATCGCAATATAACGTAATATTCTAATCGCAAATTCATTAAAATCGCCTAAATACAAGAAGTTAGTCTCATAACATGTTCATAGCGTTCAGTTTCACTATTAAATAAAACAAAAATTGTCATCATGAGATAACCTATATACACATATATCAAAAAGAAAAGTAAAGTTCTATTACGATCGATAAAAGACCAAACATAGTTCAAGTGCGCGACGATTGATATTACCTAAAATATAGAAAGTAATTTGCTTTGCGTGTAAAAAGTTCTATTGTTTAGGGCAGACTGATTTGATGAATATTTAATCGTTTGAATCGATAAATTAATCACAACTGAATTTATCCAATTCTCAAGGCCGCGCAATTCGAGCGCAAACTGATTACAATAACGAACGTTTCAGTTCGGCTGAAGTAACTTAAACATCATTATATTTATTAATAAAGCTTTTTCTTTGTTTCAGAATGTAATCGTCATCGTCGAAGCTTGTAGATGTTAAAGTGTATTTATTTAAAGATAAAAAAACCACTAAAATGTTGCGATATATAACCGTGTAAACTATGATAGATACTTTAGTAGACAATTCCTGGAGACCAGAAGCGTTCATGGAAAGCGTTGAGTGTAAAGGTTAAATATTAAAATTGTAAAATGTCCTCAGAGGTTTCTTTGGACGGACACGAAAGACCGGGTATAGCCCGCCGCATCATATCCGGCTGCTCAAGAGCGGCGTGTTCCCAGTTAGGTCTAGTTATACTGGTGGTGATTTACGTGGTGTTCGGTGCCGTACTCTTCGAGTACTTGGAGTCCGGGCCGGATGTGCAGAAGCGGTCATCCATACAGCGGTCAAGGGAGGAGTGCTTAAAAGAACTGTGGGCTATCACGGGTAAGTCGTATATCGTATTTTGCTTAACGCCTGGTATTCGTTCTTCGTTTTCGTGCACATCGATGCAGAATTTACGCCCAGTTTCTGAAACACTGGGCATCGTAGAAGTTAACGAATCAGCTGTCAACTGGCTTTGCAAATGTCATTTGGGTTGCCAAAATGATGGTTAAACTCTCTGAATTGATCAGAATGATCTTCTTAATGATCAGAATGATCAATTCAAAGAGTTTGATATTCTTTTAATAAGTTTCTAAGAGTTTCATAAATTTGAATAATGAGATTTTAATAATCTTTTTCCGAATCATTTACGCACCCATATAAACAATTACTTTTACATATGGTTTTCTTTAGTTTCCTTGTGATTTGATAATGATTTCATTATTGTTAGACCAGAGATACATCAGGGAACTCCTCAAAGTCAAATAGAAATTATGTAGAGGGTGAGGAATTCGGAAGGGTGAGAATTGAGGAAGTCGGTGTTGTTTTTTGTTAATTAAAATGTACGTGTTTAAATTTAATTAAAAAAATGATTCAAATATTTTGTTCTATATTTAATTGAGTCTTCCACCGTGAACAAGATATAGCCGTGATAGCTCAATAGAATGCCCGGGCGCTCTCCTTTAATTTAATACACTCGAACAACCTGATTTTGATTCCCGTTGCCGACACCAATGCAATTGTTAATTTATATGCTGAGATATCACGTGCTTAGCGGTGAAGGTAAGCATCGTGAAAAACCCTGTATATTTTCGAAATAATAACAAAAAAAATATTTCAAAGATATACGAAGTCCGCCAATCCGCAGTGGGAGTACGTGGTGGACTATGCCCTAATACCCTGATATGAATAATACCCTGAATGTACATATACAGAGTAGGCTTTTGCCCAGCAGTGGGATATGTATATGCTGTTACTTTTTTTATGTCTTTCACTCATTTTTTTATGGGTTTGTCTTTGTAAAATGTATTATATAAAGTATATTACGAAGAGTATCCTTGTAATTATTGCTTTGAACAACTTAAAAGCTTTAAAATAATTCGTTTATGATATTTCAAGATTGTAAAATATCTTAGTGTAAAGAGCGGCTATCGGAATTGTAAGAAATAATAAAGACACTTTTGCTTATGTATTCTTTTGAACGTAAAATTGCGGACAAATTCAACTTTTCACAACAATAGAATTCGTGACATCTCCGACATATTTTTATGAATTCTCCGGCGTCCTCTCTCGTCTCAAGCCACAAAGGGTATACATCACTCTGTATAAAGTTGTATAGAACGAGTGACCTCAGTAATAAGTTGTTTCTCAATTCTTATAGCTCTAACGATATAACAACGTGATCATCAATTGATGATGCGTAAAATTACTCTCCGATTGTGAATATGTTTTTTTTAAACTTTTTGTGTATTTTTAATAAAGACATTTTATTTTATAATTAATCATATTTCTCAAAGGCCGATTTCTCAGCCGGAAGAGATTACTACTGGATCAAATGATATATATATTTTAAACATTACAAAAGTAACTGTTGATGAATTGTTAATATTAGTCATATCTACTGGACGTAACGTAATTATTAGTTCTATTCCACGTCAATTGTTTAAATTCAATACATAATTAAACATTTATTTTATCTTATGACTACATTTAAATTGAATCTAATATACAAATACAATTGTAGTACCTACACACGTAGCTGAAAGTATTGAAATATACATTTCTCATTACAATAAAAACACATTTATACAATTTGTGTGGACAGCATAAATAAAAATAATGGAATTTTGCAATATTTCCTGGCGCTCTATACCATACTTGAAAGTAATTTCTATTGTTAAGCTCCGACCAACTGGTACTACGACTGATGTGAACTGGCGGGAAAAAAGTTATTCATAAAATCCCATTCTTTGCAATCACAGCGCCGCGATTTGCAACTAACGCTACATTTTTATAATTAAAGTGTATTTTATAAAGGTTTGTTATGTGATAAGGATTTCAGATGGCGATAGAATTTAACATTTGATGACTTCGTGGCGCAGTTGCCAGTTGCTTCACCATCGGGGGTCGTGGGTTCGATCCCCACACGGGACAACTATTTGTGTGACTCACAGATACTTGTTTCTTGTCTGGGTGTTTGTCCGCGTGAAATTTATGTTTGTAAAAACGTCTTTACAACACAGGATAATGTTATCCTAAAGTGACAATGTTTTTTATATAATAAAAAAATTTTTTTGGTAATTTTTATTATAAGACGGGAATATACGGGAAAGAAGCTTACGCATGTAGCTTAGATTACGTCGGTCATAATAAATTATTAAATTATTTATATACTGTTAAAATTTTATGAGCAGTTAAGCTTTGGCAGGCTTATTGTTACACGTACCAGAAACGAACGAAAACGTGTCAATCATATATTTTGAAAGTTCCGAGTCAATGTCTACATTTTTAGCGTTATATTTCTTAACGTAAACATATAGAGCGACGTTCAATTTTTCGGTCACTTGTACCCCAGAATTTCGTCACTTATTAACCGATTATTAAAATTATTTTTGTTTTGGATTTGGTCTAACTCTCTTTTGGTCCCATATTAATTTTTATTGGTATTGGATTTTGGACTGTGAAGATTCCACGGAACTCTTCAAAATCAAATACAAAAACTTCACGTCGGTTTTGGTTTTTGTTGATGAAAACGTCTTTACCTTTTATCATACATTTATTATTATTATAGACATGGTATCGGGATAGCTCAATGCCTTGGCGCTCGCCTTTAATTCAGTTTACTAGAGCAACCAGTGAGTTCGATCCTCGGTGCCGACACCAAAGAAATTGTTAATTTTATGTGCTGATTTATCACGTGCTCAGCGATGAAGGAAAACACCGTGAGGAAACGTGCATATTCTCGAAATATTAACAAAAAAATGTTTTTCTACGTGTTTTAATGTTCAATCTTAAGTGCAGAGATTAGCACGATTAAAAAAAAAACTTTAAAATTAAAAAAAAATACTTCGAAAATCCGCGAGAGTCCGCGAATACGCAGCACGGTCGTGTTATGCACTATACCCTAATACCCTCTGTAGGTACAATAAGGCCTTTGCCCAGCAGTCACGGGACATCTATAGTCTATTACTTTACTTTGTGGACTGGCTCTTCGTGGCAGTTTGTGGGGATGCCAATGTCTAGTAGCGTATTCCAACATGCTGAAATGGCGATAATGAACACCAAAGTTGTGCATCGGTTCAATTTACCATTAAATTGTTCATAAATTGTCCTAGTCAAAAATAAGCCGTGGTGAAATTTTGGATTGCCTTTCGGAAATGTTCTTGTGCCACTGACGTCCGCCATTTTGAACGCGCCCATTCTATGTTCTTACAAGCTCTCGCTACGTTCGCGCTCAGGTGCATTTGTTTGAAGCTCATTTGTCGCGCTCCGAGGCTTCTGCGGTAGCGTTTGCATTCAGTGACTTACGATGTATGCTTCAAAAGTGCATCTTCCGTTTATCTTTTGTGTTACAATGTCGCCGTAGCTCGTACACAGTTTCCTGTTAGGTTTAGTTGGCTGTCTTTAACGAACAAAATGCGCTTGACAATTTAGGAAAATATATGTGGAAAAGGTATTTAACTGATTGCACTATGCAAATTGATCCTCAAATTTGAAGGACAATATTCGGTTGTTGGTATTTGCAGACTCTGAATGAGTTTGCGCTCTTTATCTAGCCCAATAGACTACTTGTTAAATCATTGACTTTATTTCACTTATTCCATTTTTTTTTTTACTATCCGTATATGTATTTATTTCTATATATATTTATGTATCTATATATATTACTTATTTATGTACCTATTTATACTTACATATATGTTACATTTTATGGACATTTATCAACTATAATTTTTATAGTCTTCATTTAGCACCTACCATCTACTTTTCACCATAACAAGGGTTGACTGGTAGAGAATGCCATTAGGCATTAAGTCCGCCCATTGTAGCCCTTAGCTTAAGGTGTAACAATGAAGTTTAAATAAATAAATAAATAGAATCTATCTACTATAATTTTTCACAATTTTAATAAAATTATTTATAGTAGGTACTAGTCCCTGCAGTTAAAAACTTAAAATGTGAATATACAATATTGAATATTGAATATAAATGCGGTTGTGAACAAATCTTGTTTTTCGCCACCGCATGATTTGAAGACGCACTTCACTGCGCGAAGCGGATATTAAGATAAAATTACTATAAGTTTATAAATAACAGAAAGAATCCGCTGTGAATATCAGGAAAAAGAATCATCATCACCACATAGTATAAAATAAAGTTGTCACGCATTCTGTCTGTCCCTACATATTTTTAACATTGATTTTGATGCGGTTTTCTTTAAGAGACAGAGTGATTCAAGAGGAAGGATTATATGTATATATCATGAATAATATAGTAGAGAAACACTGATAATTTTAGAGGTTTCTAATGCGATGTCGAAAACAAACATTCAGCATTGCACCCGTGCGAAGCCGGGGCGGGCCACTAGTAATATTTAAATAAACATTTATTTGTTCCCAAGTTTAAGAAGAAGAATAAAACGTTCCGCTGTTTAAGGTTTCATAAAATTTCCGCTGACGTTCCCCAGCGTCCTACTCATTTCCCGTGTCAAAGAAAATTCATGATAGGGTCCACAGGGGATAGATTTACTTAGCCAAGTTTTTATAGAGAATTTCATCTACAACGAGATACCTTTCGCAAAACAGCTTTTGGTGAACGCATTTACAATCCCAACCCGATAAGATAGGCTACAAAGGACCGCTTCCGAAATTTTCAGCGTAATACCTCTGAAAGCTTGCAGTATTTTCTTAGGTTGAAATCTCTTTGAATTCTTTGTATCCGTGTCGCCTCTGGTAATATATTCAAGTGGGAAGCGTTTTCTATTAGATGTTAAGAGGCTTTAAATCAACATAACATTTTCTACCTTTTCAACAAAAAATTTAAATTAACTAAGACGCAATTGTTGTTAGTACGTATTTATGTTCATACCTTAAAAGGTGTGAAATTTTCATTCCTATTCGTTTCTATATTGCAAGGTTCACCTTGCTATATATGAGTTAGTGCCAATGTATATACTTTGACTACAAACGTAAATTAATGTTGGTATTCAATTTTAAATATAAAATACATAAATAAATAAATGAAAGAAAAAACCCGGATACTAAATTTACTAACTATGGTATCTCACTTTCGCGAAAATCGTATAGAATTGCTATTATACCCTATGCCACTCACAAATGTTGAAACTCCTCAAAAAATTTAGGCTGTAGACGATGTTAAACACACTGTTTACAGCTTAAATTTTTTGAAGAACACAAAAGGCACATTTTTACACAACATTCTCTACCAAACTAAGTAACGCCTGTACTATGGGTACTACATAACCA